TCTAAACTACAAAAAAGCAACTGTTAGGGATGCTCACATATGAAAAATTGGACTGATATTGATATCTGATAGTAACACTGGTATTATGCCAGATTTACCAATATTTCATTTTATATTTTTATCCGATTACTCGATTAATCGTAAGAATAATCGATAGATTACTCGATTACTAAAATATTCGTTTACAACAGCCCTACTTCAGTGTCTCATTCAGACTGAAGCAGGAGGATCCTTTGATCACCGATCGACTGAAGCAGAAATCATTTTTGAAACCAATAACCAATAGTTTTTTCATTCCAAATGTCCATTGGAATGAGGAAACTCATTCCAATTGGCTGTTATCGGCTATACAGACACCAGTATAGCCGATACTGTTATCGGCTATCAGTAATAGCTGATTACTGATAGCTGATAACATACCTGGAGTAGTAAGCAAAAAGACCTTGACATCAATTAATCAAGATTCAAAACACTTGATTCATGAAAAAATATGCAATTTGAATTTAGAAAACTATTACTAGTCCATCATTTTCCAAAATCTATCAAACAAAAGCGTTTCTCAAATGAAAATCTATTTAAATAAAGTGCATTAATAAAAAATAAAGGCCTCTGGAATTGGTCTGGGATTTAAACAAACACAGAGAAAATGGTTTCCATAAGTTGACAGCAGGGCTGCTGGAGGTTTTAATAATCGTGATTCATATTTTATCACCACCGCCTAACACACACGTTGGCTTCCTCGCTCCACTTTCAGACTCGTCTTTGTGCCAGAAAGTGAACTTTGTTTAATCCCTCGCAGAAGGAACCCGACTGGTCCAAATCTCCTGGTTATTGACGCCCTGAAACAAACATTCAGAACCAGAATGGCCGGCGGCAGAAAGAGAGCAGAGCGCCGGGCGGCAGATGGTCCGCTCACCATGGGGCCGGGCCTCAGAACCACACCGCCGCTCTGGGATTACACAGCGCCTTAAAGGCATATGGAGATCACACCCAATTCAGATCTGGTTTAAAGTCTGGGTTTCTGTAGCAGCCGCCACGCTGCAGATGGAGAGAAAGGTTACACTAAATTCATTACCTCTTCTTTAAAGTTTTCCTGAAAAGGCTGAATGATAACTACATCATAATAACCTCATGAATCTGGATTTATTCACAACACTGTTAACAGAGACACGACCGATAATACTTTCAGTTTTTATATAGATATAGATATAGATACTGCGTAGAACCCTCAAGCTCCCAGGCCTCTGGTGGAGGACCCGAGCTCGAGCTCAGAGGATGAAAGAGAGAGACCACCCGCGGAGGGGATTTATATATATAATATTAATTGGCATTTATTAAAAGAAAAGTAAATCAAACTTCTTGTAAGAATAACACAATAAATGATAAAACAATATGCCCATGCCTACTGCAGATGACCTCAGAAATTATTGCTGCTTCTTCTCCAAATATGGTCACTTCTGGTTTACAGGAAGGAAGCAGCCAAACCAAAGTGTTAAAGAGGCAGCATCATGTTTTCAGGCACATTGAGCCATTTTATAACAACCAAGTAACTATGTCACCTTCAATTCTTATAGAAATGCTCAATATATCAAATATGACAAAGAAAATTTGACTTCATAATTTAACTCCTTGAAATTGGGTCTCTGTCTCTAAGAACTTCTGCTCTTCCTGAAGCTCCGCCTCCAGGAAGTTATCCCATCATGGCTCCTCTGTTAACCCTTTAAAACAGTTTTTACCGTCGTCGCTCTGAGCAGCAGCTCCTATAATGAGCTCAGCAGCTGTTTGCTAATTGCTGCTGGCTAGTCTGAAGGATCTGAGTGGGGGAGGAGCTGCGCCTCGAAGGCGGGGCTAGGTCCACCCAGGCATTTTAACAGCCAAGTGGTTGTCATGGAAATTTAAGTATTTCTCAAACATGAATCAGGTTTGTTTTTGATGAAGGAAAACATGGAAAGATTAAAAAAAAAAGTAGATTTGAACTTGTTAATCCTGCAGATAATCATTCATTCATTCCTCAGACCGTCTCCGAGGTTGGACGTTTGTCTGCAGGAGGTCCAGTGAAAGCTGTGTGTGGTTCTGCTGGTATATTCGGGTGGGTGGGTTTGGACGGGTTCTGTTCCGTTTCTGATTTTTCTGCGTGAGTAAGTCAGTAAATGAGCAGCGGCCCGTTTTTAGCCGACTCCCCTCTGCTGGCGTCTGCGTCAGACTGGGATCTATCTATGGAGGCTCGCTCATCCTCTGCCACCCCCATGCCCAGTCAGCCTCACACACACACACACACATACACACACACACACACACACGCATGCACGCACTGTGAGCCGCTTCCTTGGGTTTAGGTGCTGCGTAGCTTTCGGAGAGCATCCACACAGAAAAGCGCTAAAATTAGCCGACAACTGTTGGCTTCCTGCTGGAAGAACGGACCATCTGGTGCTGGAAATAAACATTTAACCCAAACGCAGCACCTGGCATGAAGCCGCTCCTCGTTAGAGAAGCAGCCTCCATTAGAGCCCCTCACCCAGCTGGAGGTTAGCCGCTCCAGAGCCGGACCTCGCTCCATCCTGACCCGCCGCCCGGCACCCAACAGGGAAGACGCGCCGCTATCACTTTACAGATATTAATAAATGTTTTCCAGAGGTCACGAAAGGTCAACAAGTTCCCCCAACCTTATTGGTTGGGGGAACCAACCACTCTGCTACGTTTGTGCTGCTTTTGTTTTGAAGCTATTACTGAACGTTTAAAGGTCAAAAGGTCAACCAGCCCAGAGAGAAGTGGCTCCCATTGTTGTTAGCATGTACAGCTAACAATTTACTGGTGTACCAGAAACATATAAAAAAAAGTGAAAAAATTAATTGTGTCAAAATGTTTCTAGTTTTTCAAATTAAGGCGTTAAAGTCCCGAGTTTGGTCACAAATCAGCCACATCACTGACCAACATGAACATCACACTGCTGTCCACTGTACAGTGGAAGAAAAATTATAGTTTTCTACATTTTCCAATAGTTTCTCCTTTTGCTCTGACAGCGCTGTTGATCGGCCATTTCTGATCAGGAAACGGTGAAAGAAAAATACCTTGAAGTATTTTAACTCTCAGTTCAATACAATCTTTGCAACTTTCTGCTCAACAGAAACTTCAGTGACTAGAAACCTGCTTGGTGACACCATAATGCTGAGCACGGTGCTGGCAGTGTGATGCTGTGGGCCGGTGCTGTACACAGAGCCTTCTTTTGAGGTTGTGGTGCAGATGAAGCGAGCGGTACCTGGCTAGCGCCTGGACCTTGGCCCCGTGCCGCTCCTCCAGCTCTGCCAGCTTCTTCTTGAGCAGCTCGGTTTCCTGCCTCAGGCCGGCTGAGTGCTCCATCTCGCCGTCCAGCAGGCTGCGCAGCGACCTGCACACACGCAGCAGGTCACGCCTGCGTTAGCAAGCATCCCGCTCACACCGTTCAGAGGAATTACCTCTGCCGATCTGCTGCCGCTGTTTTCATAAACAATAGATTAGAGGAATGCCGTTTTAATTGGCGCTCTAAACGAGACGATGAATCACAATTAGCCCCGACGTAAAAACATTTCATCAACACGAACGCGTCTGCATCACTTTAATAACCTGCTGCAGATCATGGAGAAATGAAATGCTGCTCGACAGATTTACTATCATTCTGATTAACAGCGTTTTAAAAGTCTGGCCAACATGCTGCTTTCAAACTGGTCTGCAGGGAAACAGATTTTATTCAAGGAAATCAAACGAATCAAAGATTTTTCTTGAATAAAACGTGTTGAATGTTTTTCTGGGGGAAGGTTTAGAGGGACGTACGTGTTCTCCTCCACCAGCTCGTCCTTCCTGTTCATCATGGCTACGATGGCTTGACGCAGCTCCACTGAAACAAATAAAGACCAGAATCAGACATTTTCACTGCTTTACTTACCACCAAGTGATATTACTGTCCAAACAAAGTTCAGATATTAAAACAGAAACAGCAAGGAGAAGGAAAAACTCAGGACGGGTTTTTAAAGACTCCCTGGTTCTGGAAATCAGGAATAACAGCAACGACTGAGTGTTTGTGTTGCTAAGCAACGGAAACTTGTCATTTCCTGCCAGAAAAACCAGTAAAAAATGTTTTATTGGTGACGGTGAGGATTCAGAAACCAGAGCTGAACAGGATGCCACTGATTTTGTTGGAAACAGCTTGCCATACTTCTCATGTCATCCAATCTCAACATCCATTTGTTTCATGACCAGAAATTATTTCCCAACAGACTTTTGTTTGTCAATATGTAAAAATACGCAGCAGCCTCAGCTGATTTAAAGAGGAGCAGCAAAAGCAAAGGAGGAGGATTAGGAGAGCTAGCTAACAGCTGATGCTGTTAGCATGTTAGCATGTCAGAACAGTCATAAAACCGTCAGAGCAACAGTCTTCAGATTCGTTGCAACACTGACTGCTACTGGAGATCCACAGCAGCTCAGAATCAGCTCATCGTACAGAAAAACGGCGAAATTCATTTCAGTTCAACCCGAACCGCATCAGGCCGGGTAGACGGCGCCGGAGGCATCAGGCCGGGTAGACGGCGCCGGAGGCTGCAGCCGGCCACGACTGAAGAGACGCGGATTGTTGGAGCTACAACATTTAATCCACATTTAGGATAAAGGAGGATCACAATCAGTTTTCCTGGTGGGAACGACGTCCTGAGTCTCTGGCGCATTTTTCCCATTTCATTCAAAAACACAAACGTGTCTGCAGCACTTTAACAGCCTGCTAAAAATCATGCAGCAGGGAAGAAAAGGTGGACAATATTCAAAAGAGCAACAAAAAACAGAAAGAACTGAAGAAAGTGGATAAGACGAAACAAAAAGAGAAGTTCTTATTTTGTAGCGTTGAAAGTAGGAAATAGATCTAAGGGTGTAAATACTTTGCTGCAGGTTTATCGGAACAAGGAAGCTTCCTGTTCTCACCGGTTTTAATCAGGACAGAAAAGCTGCATCAGATGGCAGAAACTCGCTGACACGTCGATTTTAGCCTTTAATAAAACATCCGTTTCTGATGATGATATTAAAATGTTTGCGTGGCCCAGAATGAAACGCTGAGTGTTTCAGAAGTTACAGAACATCATCATCATCAGTTTGACTTTAAATTAAACTCCTAACCTGCTGCAGACGACCTGCTGAGGGACCACTAAACGCATTGCTCTCATTTTCAGCGCGTCGCGCTTTAGATTCACCCGGAAACACAACAGCTACACGCAACGGGAAAAGTAACATTCTTCTCTCAGAGAGGAAAACCATGATGAAGATGAAGCTCGTCATGGCCTCTGCTAAGAGTCCAAACGTTCAGCAGAACTCTGCTGGTCCGGTAATGGCAGCATTAGCAGAACCGGGCCTTGTAATCACGCTGCCTTGTGAATCAGAGCCGCCCGCCTCCAATCAGCGATGGCCTCAGAGCGACGCATCCAGCAGGAAGTCACCGAAGACGAAGCTTCACAAGACAAACAGGGACAGAAATCAGAACCGCCGGTGGAGAACCAGGGGGGGACAGAGACACTGAGGGG